CCAAAAAAACTGGATCAACTGCCTCCGCGCGCTGTTTTGGGAGGGTCCCTACCCGAGTGACATACCGCAGCACGCTCTCGTCTTTATTCCATAGAACGAATGGCATCGTACGAGGATTAATCGTCGGCCCCTAGCTCTTTATTATCTACATGGATTCCTTAGCTGTCACGCTAGTACAATTTCGGCCCAAGCTCCTCCGCTCTTATTTATTTGTCGATGACACACGGATCCAAGCCCCTCGATCGGTTTCGCTCCAGCCCTTCTTAGATGACATTGATGCGTGGGGACGCAAACCTGGCCTCGAACAGGGTGTCATTAAACCCCGATTACGATCTACCGATTTGCGACACGCGGCGCCAACCCTCCGTATAAATGGTGAGCTTATCACGCCGACGCTTGCAGACACCCCTTGGAACACACGTTACCTCCCCCTGAAAATGGCGCCCACACATGCCGAACCTAAAAACTCTTAAACGGCCTGCTCCCCGCGCGACCATTCGCGGACCCTGGGAATACAACTCGACTCAATGGCCAGCACAAATCCATTTACCCCTCTGATGCAACCCGCCTGGGCCCACGATAAACCATCACTGCGCTTCCCGTACTGTATCTGTGCTCATCTGAAAACTGTACACAAAACCACAAGCGGGCGTACACCCGACCATGTAGCCCTCCGCCAACGCTGTGAAGACATCAGGAAGAACTCAACAAACCGTTGGTCCAACAAGGAGATCGTAGCAATGGCTCGGCGCCAATACCACTACCAACTGGTTATGGGTAAACCGCCAACCTCAAACCGAGACACAGCCAGACACGACAGCTTCAATCGCTGCTTCGAGTCTACACCAATACGGCTCTGTGCTATGATTGTAACGAATACGTACATGTTCCCATTGATCGACTACCGAACCAACGGCTGTCTCTGCCCTGTCTGCCCCGGTAGCCACAAGTTCACTACCAGCCACTTTACCTGCATCCAACAACTGATTCGACGCATCCTGGTAGGCCCGAAACTGCCGCCCATTGGCCCTGCCCTCCTTCAACAATTACAGGAGTGCCACGACTTCCACGGTATCTGGACCCACCACGAAAACCTTTGTTCTTTTCTCCAGCATGTTGAAGAACCACTGTACCCTCACCCATCCCTGACACATCAACAGATGTTCCCCATACCCCGGATAATCACGCTGTTGAAGTACTACTTCCAAATTGACCGGATTATGACGGATAACCTGGTCCTTCTCAGTATTTCGCACTCTGCACTAACCCATTCCGCGACACTACACGGCGCAGAACCGATCCGTGCCACAGAGGTGGGTACTCTACTTAGTAGGTCAGCAAGCGAATATATGGAACATTCGATAGTAACAGTGTTTTGTCAATACCGGCCCGAATCGACTCAGCGCATATCTTCCATTGTCGACTCACTTGGCCCAAGCTTCAAACGGGAATTTACTGACCACTTCTTCCCATCAATCTTTCCTGAACCACTACAGCGACTATGAGAGCCATACCATATGTTCATACATTGTAACATACATACTTGTCATTTTTGAAGAAAAAAAAAATATTATCCCTATCGATGGGACGTTCATTAAGATGTCTACGGCAAACATCCGATATTCCAGTACTCATTCAAAAAAAAAATCAGCAAAGAAATTATTGAAACATCATGGGCCAGCCCATTGAAAAGCATCATGTATTTTGGTTTTAAGATCGACAACAAAAGTAATGGTCACGTCAGAGCGTTATCGTGAGGGTTTTTAATCTCCACCTAGAAACGATGTAAATATCCAGAAATTACGCGCAAAATTTCTGCAGCCCAGTATTTTCTGTAGTTTATCGCATGTGCTGTATTAGTATGCTTTCCAATAGCGAGTCATATCGTGTTTTGTATAATATTGATGTCCCAAACGCACACCAGTGTGAACGAGCTATGTAGTTCATGACAACAACCACTACAATGGAATCGAGATGGCAGACTTAGAAAACAATAATAAAAAATTGCAGCTGCTTGTGGGAATGAGTGTACTTTCGAGCTCTGGACATTGAGGAGGATGATCCTGTTGTGATGCTATATTAAAAATACCACAATAGGGATGTCCCAAACGCCCACAGTGTGAATGAGCTCTTTAGTTCAGTATCGACCACTACGACGGAATCGAGATGGCAGATTAGAAGAAAAGAAAAGAAAGATTAAATTGCATGCCGGAATGTGTGTGCTGTCATAGCTTAAACTATTTTGTACATCGAGGAGGATGATCCGGTTGCGATGCTGTATCGGAAATCCCACAGCTCTGCAGAACTCACAAGTGAAGAACTGATTAGGTAGTTTATGGTGCCGTATAACGCATATCCTATTTAGCGAGTAGGGTTCGCGTATTGCCTTTCGTTGTTGCGAATGCTCACAACTTTTCTAATTTGATGGTAGTATTCTGTCTGTCAGTTCACAAGCGGTATCATTGCAGATATACATAGTGCTGACTAATTTCCACGCCAAGCCGATCACAGGTCTGCAGCAAACATAATCCTTCTTTGATCCATGTTTGATAGAGGCTGTGACTGTCGACATACCAAATCTCCTTTTTTCTAGTTCTTTGACAGACGCATTCGAATTCCGCTGTATTTTCCCGCAGTATGTATACCTGACAAGTTCACGAATTTAGTACTGTTCCTCAGTAATTTTCGGCTGCTGCTGATGCAATCACATGCAATGTGCGTACTTTCTACTACCGACTATGTGGGCTTGATAACGAAACATGTGGATAATTTCTACATTACCATTTATAGAAATCTTCACGCTACCGTCCATTGCGATTAACTCCAGCCAGCCCTACATGGTTATCAGTATCTTTCCAAACAGCACTACTAAGCATCTTCAAAGAGAATTTTATGTAATCTTCAAATAATGTTAAAATAATGGAGCATAATATTTCATTTCCACCGGAGACCTTTTTCAAACAATACGGACGGTGAGTTTGTTTTCTATCATTGGCGATAAAAGTCTCAATCATTAAGTATTATCAATAGAATTTCAATGCAAATAATATTCTGGTAGTTTATCAGACTTGTTCTATGTAGAAATGGGAATAGAGGGAAATGAGCTATCATATGCAAGTCGAACAAACCTGAAAACGTATAAGAGGTATGAAACCCTAATGCCGACGTCTTGCGTGTTTTGAGTTTTGTGCAAGGTTATTGTTCTATTGAAGAAAAAGAAAGGTATAAGAAGGCAATTTCAAATGAATGCGCGAAATATTTGTCTGAGTGCAACGGACTTACTCATTTATCAGTTGCACGTCCTTCCAATTTTTCTACCTCAGCTTGTCAAATGATTGTGTCTTCTCTTGTGTCTTGTATCCAAATCGTTCTCGTTTCATGCCCCAGCAGCTATTTTTACGACTGCTATAAACAACATATCGTAAAATATTCTCAAAAATGAAACTGTACAATAATGTGAGCAAAAACGTATGACATGTAGAACGTACAACGGCTGTTCGTACATATAATGATGCGCAAATCACCTTGATCTGGTTGTATCCGCCACGTTGCGACTCTATATTGTATATTGTTTTTACGTCTTCAAAAATATTTCTCATGTTTCGAGGTGCATTCTGCAGTTTTCATAGTGATTAGACATGACTTCGAGCTACTTGACAAACCATTATTGTGATCTTGATACGGGAATGTTCACAGGGGCTATATTCAAACCCTGTCTTGATTATGAATTTAAGCGATTCAGAGATTGGTCTTCGTGTGATACTACGTTAATTTAGAGAAGTGTATTCTTACGATGACCCCAGCACTATTCTGAAATGTCGGATTTATGATGACAGCCAACTGCCCCTTATGACATCTATGTATGACGATATCCTGAGTACCAAGTCAGAATATTGTAGTCCATTATATATAATTTCATTATAAATAAACAGAACCAAACGATACTGACTTGGGAAAAGACATCTGGATATGCACATTCGCATACTTTGCACTCCAAATACAGATTTTGTGTACAACTTTTTATTCTAGCCTCGAAAAGTCGATAGTATATTATAATTTGGATCTTTTAAACAGCCAGAGGTAGCTCAGAATCATAGTCATGATGTGCACGAAATATCATTGATTTAAGCTAATATCATTGATTTAAGCTTAGCTTAATTTAACTAACTTCAAACCGCTTCTCCTGCACCAAAGACTGGGAATATATTTGTCTCCAATCAAATTTTGGCTATCATGCTATCTGATTACCATGTTATAAATTAGTGATGTAGCTGCTTTCTGATTTTAGAATCGATTGTCGGTCCTTGAGCCAAGGCAAAGATTGATATATTAGCTTTTCTTCGGGCAGGTGTATATTGGCGAACAGATGGGAGAGGCTGATACCCATCCAGACAATTTGATAATAAAAAAGCGCCTTCTAACTTCAGAGATGAAAGAACACAAAGTTTTTCTCGCTGTACTCCGTGTACATGAGAAATGAAAGTTTACAACCTACTAGCATATTACAATATATCATATACCCAAACAATGATACATTTGCAGCGATGAAATTGCAAATTTACTCTTGCTATGTGAAAATTTATGGTGAATATACTCTGTGACCGACAAAGGTCTCAGCCAAATAGTTGTACATATTTGTGGAGTATACCTTCGACCGGTGGGGAGGAATACACACACTAGCGAAGGACTCTACTCCTCTGTCGCATCACTATGTTATGCAAGCGAAAGTAAATAAATGATACCCACGCAATCGATACAATCTCGAGCTCCACAACTCACTGTACATGAGCTACTATGAAAGAACAGAACAAGATTGAATCTGCCAAAAAAATATGCATGAGAGAACCTGGAATATACTATACGCGAAGATGTGTACGCCGAATCTGAATTCTACACTTCTGAAGTATAGTTATACACTCCTCTAGCTATGTATGCAATTTTGACACACAGACTAACAATAGGAGAACTGGAAAACTGCTAAATACCGATCTAAGATCGTCGCCTGTTATTACTATTGTCTACATAGATACTCAGGTGCATTTCTAGTGAACCACGACTGGGGTCGATGTAGCGTTTCATCCTACACTTCGCAACGAAAGAACATCACATGCAAACGGCCTCCATCCATCGTCAGTCATACCATTGTGTACATATCCGTAGTCCTGCAGACAGTATAGTTCAGACAACCCGCAGTCAAAAACATTCTTTAGGAAAAAGAATCTCACTCATCAAGTCATGGACTGAAATGTGCATGAAAGCTACCTTCGTATTAGTTATTCGAGTCGTTTTAGTACTCTATACTTTGTCAGTCTATCCCAGATTCCATACACAAAGACCTTCCGGGAAAATCAGAGGGGCCAGCACTTGACTCCACCTTAAACCCACTACCCTGCCGTTTTCAATCTTCAACCACCATCTCATTGCCCGACTCATCGGGAGTGTCCCATCGTTCTATGCTAAGAGCAAACACTGCACAGTCATCGAATTCAGACCGATCCAATTCCTCGCGATCGGTAAGTTGCTGGCAGATCTTCTGCAGCGGCATTCCGATGTCTATTTTATACCCCAGCTGGTCTCGAATAAAATCATTCTGCTCAACCCGTTTAATCCGGGACCCTGGCAGGAAGTTCACAAGCCCGTCAGACATCATCAGCAAGACAGTCTTCTCCTCCTCCGGGTCAGCAATTTTCACGAAAGACACGTCCGGTATGGAGCGCATAATAGGTTTCTCGCTGTCCAGTTTGAACAGCAGATCTCCCATCGTGCCACCTAGATTGAGCCCACGTCTTGTTGGCACGCTGAGGTCGAGAGGAGTGTAGAAATGGCACACGAGTTGTGGTTGAGTCAGACATCTCTCCTGTGTCTGGACTGCCATGATTGATCAACAGATATACTTGTTGTGCATGATCCTACAGACACAAACATACATTGTGAATACGAACCCCTACCAACTCTATGTTGCTATACTTGACACACACAACTATGCTTACCCGATGTCATTATCACACAGGCCGGTTCTTGGTTTCACTCTGCAGCCCCCGGTACCATAGTAGATTAATTGACCAGGCTTGATAGGTTTCTCACGTCCAGTAATATCATCAACAAGTATACCGCCTAACAATCAAAGATAAGCAATGTCTTGAGTGTTAAGAATGAGTTGTACAACAGGAATATGCCCAGCCTATCACCTTAGTCATCGATAATCACTACGGCGAGCATTGTAACTGAAATACCGGAGAAGTTAGATATGCATCTGCTGCCACGGATGAGACCGCAACCGATACGGGCGTTTGCAGACGCAAGCGAAAAGCAGGTAAAAACATACCAGCCTGAATGATGGGAGTTAAAATATCGCCCCTGCTAAGGTCTTGATCATCCGACGCGAACACAGTGCTCCATTTGAATTGCTCCAACGGCCTGTTTTTATAATACATACAGCAGGTTTTAATTTTAATGCGATTTGATATTTGAAAATGATCGTAAAGTGAAGTGTGCTTAGTTGCATATACCCGGCCAGAACAGGTTCGTTTACAAATCTCAGTATATAAGCTCGCATATGAAAACTTGCAGTATGCAGAACGACACATACCTTGAGATTACGATCGACCGCGAATCCCCTACATTACAATTGACGATATATCCACGGTATATCACATTTACCGCTAGAGTACATCCATCGTCATGGGGGCAACTCTTTGGGATCCCAGTATCAGCTTCATCCTCGACGCCATCGCGAGCATCCGCTTCGGCACTCGCTTTATAAGGAATTGGAGTGGCTTTGTCGGCATCATCGTTCATATGTACCAACACTTGTACATCCTTCACCTCGATCTGCTTGCATCGCTGCAAATACTCAGAGACCCACTGCGCCTCATCAAGTGTGGGTGCTTGCGGTTTGGATTGCGCTTGGAGATCACTCGACGTAGCTGGCGGAAGGCGACTACTTTGGGATGCTTCGAGTCCTTCAGATAGAGGTGATCCTTCATTAAGGTCTCCGGATGGTGGGATTTGCACTTCTAATCGCGCACTTTGAGAGACTTTTAAATCTTCGTTGAGTCCATCAAAGCTCTGGCCTATATGCCCTTCGAGACGATCGGATTGTGAAACTTCGAGCTGATTCGGTCCGTACGCTGGCAATTGAGGCGCTTCTTGGTGCACCGATTGATGTGATGGCCTATGAAGTTCACTCAGTCCAGTTGCTTGTTCATGTACCGGGGCACTCGTAATGCCATTTGATAGGCACAGTTGCCTGTCGTGGCCAATCGCTTCAGGCAATTGTTTTCCAGAGTTTGTCAAGTCAATCGCCTGGCTCTTTGTACCATTTTCGGGAAGTACCTGCCCTCCTAAACTGGGGTGTTTAAATTCAACAACTTCGGGTTCTATAGGTTGGGATGTTTGCTGATGCTCACTACTCGTGTACATTGTGTTACGATCAGCATTTAGAGATAATGTCTCCAGACTAAGCTCTGAGGGGGACTGGACCATGTGCTCGGAGGTATGGGACGAGTGCGGTTCAAGGACATTCCCGCTGTTCACATGAGCGTCAGTGTTCTTGAAGTTGGGGCTGGTAACACCGTCGAGACCACTAGTTGGCGATACTCGTGTCGTGACCTGTGCTATAGATGATGCTTGCCCTGTAGTGCCATTCAACTGGGGTGCTGTCTCGGCGGCGGCACCGGGTTCCATCACACCACCATTAAGAACATTGTATTGAACTGACTTACCTCCAAGAACACCTACTGGAATTTGTTCGTTTCCACAACGTGTGGAGTGAAATTCTTGCCCATCTGCATCACATGCCGACATTTCTTGTCCAGTAGATATATCCAGTCTGTGTGCTTGGTCTGCGACACGGTTTCTAGTATCAACACCACTGGGCATACTCTCTCCGAAATTAGACGCAGGCCTTGCCTGGGCTTCGGCCCAACTTGAATAGGTCGCTGGCGTATCGAGTCCTCCTAAGGCGGCTGCATGGCTGTCCATGTCCATGTCCATTGATGATCGACTTTGGGCCTCTTGCTCTTCTGTTGAGGGGTCTAACGACCTGGTATCGTTTTGAGAGGTAGCCTTCTCGTTGGAGTCAATTGGATTCAATTTCTCCTGTTCGAGGTCAGTTGTTGTGCAGCCGATCACAGCTGCAGGTGACCCTTGCCTTTCGCTGCGACTCTGTTGCACCTGTGCCGCTGTAATACTCGACGGACTCAACCGTCCAGACAGTGGTCCCGCATCAATATCTATTGATTGGGATGCCGGTGCCTCAGAATGGCACAATTGAATCTGCGAGTCCACCAATAAGTTGCTTGGCCGAGATATTTGCCCTCCAGGATCACTCGAACGGGGCAATTGCGCGGGTATACCAACTAATGTGTGAGGTTTCTGCTCGCTGTCGGCACAGTTAACACTTCTTGATGGGGATGCAGGTGCTCTCGAATCGCATGATTGGATCTGCGACTCCGCCAATAGCGTACTTTGGCGAGGCACTTGCTCTCCAGGACTTGATTGGGACACTGGAGCATATGCATCCAATCCATTGAGATGAGGTGCTTGTTCACTGATGATGCAGTCGGTGTCTGAAGTTCGGGATGCTGATGGTTGCGATTCGCGGGAGTTGATCTGTGACTCCGCCAGGAATGTGCTTAACACAGGCGTTCGCTCGCCATGCTCGTTTGCTTGGGGCACTGGCGCTTGTGCTTCTCCGTTTGCGTGTGATAAAGGGTTGCCGATATTGCAGTCGAGGGCCGCTGTTTGGGCTGCTGGTGCTTCTGAGTGGCATGATTGGCTCTGTGAATCTGCCAATGGTGCACTAGACGGAGATTCTTGCTTGCCAGAGTCGTTGGTTTGGGCAGCGGGCGCTTGTAGATTTAATTCGTTTACGCCACGTGTTTGCTCGCTGACGATGCTTGTCGCTTCCATTTCCGCACTATTCGTTAAATATGCTTGCTCATTGCCTTTGTACTTCGTCCAAAGTGAGAACTTTTCTTTCTGCTGAGCCACATACTCCCGGTCCAAGGTCTAGAAACAAACATATAAACAACTAACAGTGAGCAATTGGGACGGAACAGAATCCATCCAAAAATAGTATGCTATATCACTGGCCACTGACCCAACTATATAGACTGAACTAACAATATACTTACCTTGTAGATCTCAGTAATCAACAGTTTGAATCGCCGCCTATGAACCTCATCCTCAAAATCCCACAAGTGTCCATCGGTGATTCCTCTCTCTAGAACTTGCTCCACCAGCGGCAGAATCTTAGAGGTGAAGAATCGTGCAGCTTTCGCTCCTCCATGCCCATCTGCCAATGCCATTACAACGTATTGATGCAGAGGGTTGTGGTGAACCAGCACCTTGTCCTCGGCTTCCTTCTTCCACACCTGCGTTGATGTATAAGTACATACAAAACAGCTCAATGTATGCACATACCGGTGTAGCGGATATAGTATAGACGAGCAGCACAAAACACCAAAATTATATCCATAATAGTTCTGCAAAGATCCATAAAAGTCGTACATCGCACACCATCGTCCTAGCAAAGCATACCTTCATTCTCGACTTTCGGTTTCCAGTGAACTCGTAGCCTTGCTGGATCGCATTACCCCACAGGAACGGCACAGGGAGTGTGTTCCAAACCACGCGCTGGGGCACATCATGCTTCTCAGGCATCTGCACTTGCACCCGATCCCCCCGTTTATCTCGCGTGGTTTCCGCTGTGTGTTTCTTCACCACTAGTCGCGCCGTGCAGGTCGAAGATTTTCGTGCCTGCTTCGATTGCTGCGAAGTTTTCGAGCTCGGCGGCTGAGGAGCCGTACATGTGATTCGTTTCATAGAGTTGTTGGGTCGCTTTCCTTGATTAAACTTATTCTTCTGTATTTGAAGTGCCACTTTGCTTGGAATTGCTTTGGAATGCTGCGATGGCTTCGATCGCTCTGGCTGCTTCGGCTTATTCACGACGCGCTGCATTCAGAAAGTAATCTCCATCAGTACGGCCCTTGGACAAGTACGCAACAGCACCACTGCACGATTCAACAACACTTCGCAACCACCCACCCTTAGGGTCAGAAAACTCCTACGCAAATAGATACTTATCAGCTACGTTCGTTTTGGACCCTTTTTTCTGAGCTTTAGACAGAAATAGTAAAACACATGGGTCCATACCTTGTCGTGAAAGCGCGCATCTGGCACAGTCGGATTTATGTAGCCATAGAGCATATCTCTAGCTTCATTTACAGTAAGGTGTGCCACAGGGACGCCGCAGTTGCCCACTTTCCACATACTAGAGATAGAAGGGCGCTTTGTGCCGATGATGACACCATGCTCCTCGAGAAAGCTCTTAGCATTCTGAAAAACGTGGCAGAAGTATATAATCAGCCGGTATACATAAATGGTAGCAGACAAAATCGTTTGTTTGTATGTGTTCGTCTACGCTCAAAACATGAGCATGTACGATATGTTTGAAGATAAAAATAATTCTTTGTCTTGAAGGCCACAAACGTCCGACCCCATTGGCATCAACATACCATAAGTCGATGTCCAAACGCGTCACCAATTCCCATGTCATATGCCACGATCTTGATGAGATTAACTCGGTTCTGCAGTTTCCCGGCGTGTATCATGAAAGTAGTTCGTCCAAAAACCTCCGCGCAACAACAGCAGCGGATGAATATGGACCCAGGCGCTGGTGACATAATCTCGCCATGAGTTACGGGCGGGGCACTCGAGAACCCTGTGGAGAAAAGTAAGCGCAAGGTTTTCAATAAGGCACAGCCAGCAAAGTCAATGAGACGGGACTTTGAATATCATCTCACACGTGGTGAGAAACATCCCACAAGTGCATGCTCGGGGCAAAATAGCAGGTTCGTGTGTCGGATGTGTGGGCGTGCAAACATACCTTGTCCGCTAGGTGTTGTGCAAACTTCTAGTACCGGCAAGTAGGGAAACATAAGTTTCGCTGCATGAAAGGCCTTGTGTCCTTTGTACCATTCGCCTTGAAGCAAGTCGTTGTTGCGCAAGGCCAAAGGTAATGCCTGAATACCACTCTTCTTAGCTGAATCCTCAGCACCCACAGCCGATGTATTCTTTATCTTATCACCGGCTGCTTTCCCGCCGTTGGTTATTTTAGATCTCGCTACCTTCCCAGACTCAGCTACAAGCCTAGCAACAGCAGCGTTCGCAGGCTTGGGGTTTACGGACGTTTTAACAGCCGAGTTCGTGACGTTGGGCTTTTTAGGTAACAACCCCGACGCGGCCCTAGCCTGGATCCCAGTGCTGGATTGTACGTCCTTCTTATTTTTCGATACACTTGAAGTCTTGGCGGATTTCCGTTTTGATACAGATACAGTTGATTTGCCTGACCTCGAATCGGCCTCGGCTGATTTCACAGTGTCCAACGACAGGCCACTGTAACGCACACCCATCTTGAGTGCGATTGCGGCGGCGATGTCGGAACGATTGGCCTGTAATCATAAACGATACAAATTAAATCCGAATGCAGGGCTTAATTTCGTGGCTGGGGGCACACAGTCATTTAACGTGTCGCGAAAAACATACATACTTAGAAGGTGAATGTTTTCACTATGCACAACGAAAACCATAAAAGAAGAGTTTGAGTTATATAGACCCCTCTGATAATTTTACATAGCATACCGATGAATCCACCTTTGCTTTCGGCTGTTGAGCTTTAACCGACAAGCGACCTAATTTTGGCTTGTCACTCCTGCGTAAACGGGTCAAAATAATGTATGAGTATTTAGAAGTCACATTTTCGATTACATATTAATTTGTTCAGTCGTTTGCGACAATTTCAAATACCGGTGATGACAGCGAATAAAAATATATGATTATATATATATAAATATATATGCATATATATATATATATATATATATATATATATATATATATATATATATATATATATATATATATATATATATAATATATAATATATAATATATATATATATATATATATATATATATATATATAT